AAATTTTAATATATAATTAATTTGAAAAAGGAGATCAAAGTTTAAGAAACAATTAAAATATATCATTTATTGATTTTAAAATGATATGATAAATTAAAATTAAATTTTATGAATTGTTGTGAACAATTTAATATATTAAATAGAATTTAGTTTTTCAATTTAATATATTAATAATAACTAAATGACTAAAATTTAATTAAAAAACAACTAAGAAATGAGTTTAAAATAAAAAAAAAAAAAAAACTAGGCTTCTTCATATATAAATATAATTGAATAATGAGAAGTGACAAAAAAAAATTAAATTTATTTATAGATTTTTAAATACATTTAAAAAAAAAAAAATAATAATAATAAAAGACAATATTAAAAAAGGGATTAAATAAAACAAAAAAAAGAGAAGGAAAACGAACAAAGAAATTTTTTTTTTTGTTTTTGTAAACCCGCGCGTATTATTGAAAAAGCTCAGGGATTGGTTAGCCAGTATTTGATCTCTAGCGAATTCTATTTGAAAATTTTCAGTTACATCGCAACTGTTTGCTGTGTTAAGGTTACGCTAATGTTTAACGATAAAAAAACTCGTGACTTGCGGTTTTAGTTTATCAATTTCATATAATTATTAATAAAAAAAAATTTTTTTTAGATTATATAAAGTGATTGATTTGTGATGTTTGAGTGTAAAATAATTATTTATTGTAATCATTATTATATCGGGCAATAAACGGGTAAGTAATATATATATATATACACAATGCATCGTCAGGTCAACTTCTTTTGTTTGGCCCTAGTCCAATTTATTTACATTATTATATTTTTAATGGATGCACATGGCTTCGCTTTTAAATAAAAATCTAATAACTATTAAATGCAGTTATTTAAAAATTAATTAGTTAAACTAAATTAAAATTTTATTGTTATTTCTATTGCTTTTAACATTTAATCATCGTTACACATACAAGAGCTAAAAAGAAAGAGAAAAACATTATTATTGTTATTATTATCCTTATTATTATTATTTTTTATTTTTATTATTATTATTTGAGTTTTATTTATTTATTTTTTTTTTTGACATGAAAGATATATTTTCTTTTTTTCCTTTTGTTGTTATGGAAAGTTAATTAAAAAAAAAAGTTAAAATTGTTTTAGTAAAAAAAAAATTTAGAGGTCACATGAGGATAAGTATATCTTACAAGTGGCCCAGAATTTATCCTTGTCTTAAAATTAAGTTTTGAATAAGCATTAAATATTTCTTTTGTATTAAAAAAAAAAAAAAAAAAAAGTTAAATTGAATACAATAAAATAAAATAAAATAAATATATATTCGATAAAAACAATCATATCAATTTTTTTTTTTTTTTTTTTACAATGCGTTTGATGTTCAATGTTAATAAAACAAAAAATTAATAAGTTTTTATCGAGAGAGAAAGACAAAAGAGAAAAAGTTCAAAGGAATAAGTTAAATATTAATACATTAAAACACAAATAAAAGTTTTTATAAAATAAATAATAAAAAGTATTTAAATACATTCAAACTAATATTTTTAACCTTTTAATAAATGGATTTTTGTCGAATATGTATATTCGTTTGTTTTAAAACCGATAATCTTTGAAATTGATTTTTGGATGAGGATTGTAGAATCAAATATAAATTATTCATTTTGTTTGTATAATTTTCAAATGTACATATATCTAATATGTGAAGCTTAAATAATACATAATTTTACACCTATTAAAGAACAATTATTAAGTTAAATAATTAAATAATGCTATTATGATTGTTCTACACACTCTACCTCAGCGATGAAAAAGTGAATAAAATTTTTTACCTTTGTTTTTAAAATAAATTTAATTCAACAAATGTGAAAACATTTTTATTTAAACAAAATATTGTGTGTGTTGTAAAAATATATATATTTTACAGATAAAAATTTTTTATTTTTAATTCATTGTACCTAAGAGATGATTTTCAAATTAGTGAAAAGATACAAAAACAAAAAAACTTTGATGTGAAAACAAAATTTTTTTTGTTTACATTTTAATTCTCGACAAAAAGAAAACAATTTTTTTTTGTAAAATTTTTTTTTTTATTTTAATTTTGGCAAAATAACTTTTCATGTGAGTGTTGAGAGAATAACAAAAAAAAAAAAAAATATTTTTGACCTGGTAAATGTTAAAAACGTTTGCACAACAACAACAACAACAAAAAATATCTTCTCCTTTTCTTGTTTGTTTTTATTAATGACAATTGTTGTATTTATATTACTCTATTTAATTTTATTTATATTAATTAAATTTAAATAATTACAACAAATGATAAACGTAATAAATAAACAACAACAACCGCAAACAAATTCAAAAGAATTTTCCTTTCCTTTCTTTCAAAAAAAAAAAAAAAAAAAACAGAAGAAAACTTTAATTAAGGGAAGAAGTGACTTTAAATTATGTAACTAATTTAATTTTTTTTTGATTTTCCAAAGAGGAAAACATCATCCTTTAAATCTTTTTCTGGGTTTAAATATTGAGAGATATTTTTTAAATTAATGTAATGGATTTTTTTTTCTTTTTATTTATTTTAAAAATTAATTACCATTAGGTGAAAAAAGAGTGTAGAAACAAGAGAGAAAGAAAATAAAAATATATAAATATATATTTTTTTAAATAAATAA